CAGGTAAAATTCTGAAAATTTCATGTGTACGATGTCATTTTGTGAAATTTAACATTTATATTTTCTCAGGTTTCTTTAAGAAATTTTTTTTGGTGTTATTACAGGTAACTAATTACATCTATAGCCCTTACAAAATGCAAAAAAAAATGTGATATTGTTTAAATTGTTCTGGTACAAGGTTTTTGTCCACTGAAAATTAAAATTACTCAATTTCCTGATAGATTCCGACATAAAGCTTATGCACTGGCTATCTTGTGGGCTCAATTTCCGCCGCTCTCTCCGGGTTTCTTCCCTGTCTGGGGGAGGAGCACAGGCTCATATCCCAAACAGCGGCTGGTAATCGAGCCTGGCTATCGTGATAAACCAACAACTTTTTAAAAACTAGCACTGCATGTTGACTTTTTTAATGCGAGCTTTGAATCAGCTTTTGAAAATCAAAGTGAATTTGTTCGAATGACCTGGATTTTTGAAGGATGTTACTTTTTTAAAATTTAAGCAACAGAAATGTGTTAGGAACTTTTTTTCTTCATACTTTTGTGTGGAGGGGTGCGCATCAAACATCAAACATTTTTTAGCCCTCATCTTTCCAAACTGGTCACTCTGTAACTGTTCATCACAATTTTGCAAAACCACGTGTTTAGTGTTTTGACTGCCAAAAGACTAGAATAAAAAAGAACTATAATCAAATTACCTTAGAATTTTAGTTTTCAAAAGATGATCAGGACCCTCACACATATATAATTAAAAAAATAGACAATGCAAGCTTTCTGAATATTTTTGGTTTATTAAGTTAGCCAGTTCAGGGTGCAAAGAAAATTACTTTTAAAGCTTGCCTTTCAGGCAAGCTGAAGCAAGTATTTACTAACCCAGTACTTTTGATTTTAGTACATTTTCTGCATTGGTTGTCACCAGTGCAATCTGCACACTGCACAACTCAGCCATGTACAGGCTAGGATCCTCAAGAGCCTTTCATTGGCTATGCAAAGTACTCAAAATTAAACCAAAGACAGAACCTAACACTACACAGAATAGAGGCAACTTAATGTACCTCATTCCCACCATCAAAAAGACGTTGTCTCCATCACATTAACAAATAGATTCCATGTCTCTGTGTGGATAGCAGATGACAAAAAAATATGGTAAAACATTTTCAAGTGGCACACTTGCCTGCGGCTTGTGTGCCACTTCAAAATGTTTTTCAAAATGTTTTTACCATATTTTGATGTCCTCTGTGATTTATTATAGAACAGACTCACCGCAGCATGGAATCCATTTGTTTTATACAATGATCAGAAAAGAAAGAGGACCGATACACATAAGCTTACCTGCCTCGTACCACTTGACAGTCCGAGGATTTGTGCTAGTTTAGGCATTTTTTAAGTCCCAAACGCTACTTTTTGACTCCACTTCTCCTTTTTTTCTTTATTTTACTTGTATACAGTTTCTTTGAAAAGTTTTTCAACGTCTTTTCTTGCTCAAAGCAGAATAATGAAACATTTTGATAAAGAGCGAGTCTCTCGTAGCAATGACACATGATGACAACTGTTGTGAAGATTTCTTGTAGTTAAGATATTCTTAAGTAGTCAAGAGCTCTTTTTGACTCCGTTTCTCTATTTTTCTTCTTTGTAAATAGCTCTAGCTAAACTAGATTTGAGTCTTTCACTTGCTTTAAAATCCAAAATAATTTCACAAACATTTTCAAAACCATGCGCCATGTTGAACAAACAAAGAAAACAAGTTTCCTTTGACGTCATTCCCGTATCTGTACTCTAATAGGTCATGGGCAATGACCAATCACAGCGCGCGTAGCATGAAGTATGAAATTTAATATCCCTGTGCAGTTTATTCACACATACAAAATGTTTGCTTAATCTTCAAATTTTTAAGCTTAAGATCTGTATCCATCAGCCTAATTGGAAGGGAAACTTGGTCCTTCTTGAGTACACTTTATGATAGCCTGTGCCACAGACGAAACGTAACTCTGGTTAAGTCGGTCTGTGAAACAGCGCCAAAATCCTTGTTCTGGGCCTCCACTAGTGCCATGATTAGCAAGTTAAAAAGCATGGTCGATTTTTCAATCAGGATGAAAGGGAATTCGAAACACACCTTCAGTAATTTTTTGAGTCTGCTGGGGGCCCAGAGCAAGGATCTCACGGCTGCTTAGCAGATGTTACTGAGGCTGATTATGTCTGCGACGCAGGCTAATGTTATGACCACTCCCCTATTATTGGCTGTCAACCTACAACAAATTGATTACAATATTTTATTTATTTTACTGATTCTCACCTAGCTATAACTATATGCATGTTTTTTAAAATTGTGAAAATAAAAAAGAAAAGTAAAAGAAAAACTCTCTTGATGAGCACTTGTTACTCTTGGAGTACATATCTAGATGAAACATTATTTAAATAAAAAAGGTGATTACAAAAGTCTAAACTAGTCTAACTTATTCATTTTTTAACATTTTTAACTGTTGAACTCCCTTCAGAAGCACATATTTGTATTATGTAACAGTGTGTAAAGCCAACCATTTCTAATGTTGGCTGGTAAATCTATTTTCAATAATGCGAAAACATCATGTTAAGATGCTGATTCTATGCATCTATGGGCCATCAATTTATAAACTAAATATTGCCAAATTCATATTCCGGTTACACGTAATTGCTTTATTATAAATGGCCTACTTGCTAAATACACTTCTTAACTTGTCTGCTGGATTACACAAAAGACATAGAAGAAACCCAAAAACCACCATGATCAGGGTGCATGTACCAGAAACCAAGTCATCAATATATAAAGGTTTAAAGGTTTGTTTACAGTGGAAAGTGCACCTAGCCTATCCAGCTAGTTTACAGGCACTCCACTCAAATACTTAGAAACAAATAATTCAAATATAAAATAATAGGATTTAAAAACCCAACTAGCAGGAAGCAACTAGTTTAAAGAGTGGCCAAGGATTTGTACTTGGGACGACTAAGAACAAATTCAGCAAGTGGCCAGAATGAGACTCAAACTAGGGACTGCCAGATTGCAAGTCCAATGTACTGACCACTTGGCCACACTGCCTATAAGTCAAGTTTTTGGCATAATTTAACCCTGTAATATGCAGCAGTCACCAAAGACCAACAGTATTTGCTTCTATTAAGATTTGTACCAAGATCTAATGCCAAACATTAGAGGAGACCTCTACACTCCTAAGAAGAATCTTGACATACAACTATAGCATTAATCCTTGAGTTAAAAGGGCTAAATTCCACAAAAAAATACTAAGAGCCAAATTATTTTAGTGATCAGCTAGTTCACCTTGTCACTATAAATCTTGGAACAACAGGTGGCAGACAGGTTCACTGATGGCTAGTTACTGATGTGCATTAGATTTCTGTTCTTTTGGCTTTCACCACTCTCAGTTACATGGATGTTATCATAATTTTGCAAGGCATCCTTCATTGAGTCAACAGAAAAAATTAAAAACTACCATGTGAATTATGTGATATGAGGTCTTCTATCCTGGTACTAGTACAAGTAACTTCCTAGCTCAGGAAAACATGCACATGTCCAAACAAGCTCTTGTCCACATCTGTGACACAGGGGTTTCATGAAGCATCAGAGATCAGAGAATTCCCCCTCTACTACGCATAATTCTCTGGCTAAATTTCGATGAAGTATGGCTATTTTATTTGGACAAATCAGATGTGGATACGTTATGTAATTTAAAGAAATTATTCCCAGAAATGCGTAATTTTAGCGCTTGCCACTTGCTTTAAATTCCTGAATAAATATCAACATTGATTGACATGCTTTGCAATTCTCAAAGCTCAAGAAACCGCAGGTTCGCTAAGTCGGTTTTAAGGATGGTTTTCAAGTCACTTGAAACTTTCTTGAATTGTTTCAACTTTCCGAGTTGAATGAGATGCAAAGTAAAGTTACTTGAGATTTTACTTAGGCCTTCACACACGCATTCTTGGTTAAGTAAAACTTAGTAGCTCTTAAGTCTTACTTAACAGCCTAGTGTAAAGACAACCAATGCCTTCTAAAACAGCACATTATAAATTGTAACAGCAGAGGAAAAAAAGAAGAGATATCCATCGATATTCAACAACCGAACACACAAAGTTTTGCAGTCATAGCGCATTTGTTTAAATGTGCTCCGTCTAGCGCGAGCACGTGTCACCAACAAAGATGGGAAAAGTTTCTCACATCTCGTGCTTTCACTATTAAAAACATCTGAAAAATATTGAGTTGAAGTTAAAGCCTATAGAGCATTTTCACTCACGTAGCCAGCATCTATGCAAATTTATTCAAACAAAAAAAGCATTTGCATAAGAAAAGAGTTCAACTCCCACAGGATTGGTTTGGGACACCAACATGGCTGCTGTTTCATTGTTTTGGGACACCAATATGGCTGCCGTGACGTCATGTGATCAAACACTCTATTGAGAATTATTTTCTTTTCACTCTTTGGTAAGTCACAACTCTAGGAGTGTGTAACAGGGTTAGAAGTCAATCATAATTTAACAGTATGCCTGTTAATTTGAAGAAAAAATGTTTTGAAACCATGTAGAGGTATGCGGAGTTTTTTGTTCCCTGAGGCAGCTACAAGAAATAAAATTTGCTATCAGACAGAAGGAAAAGTCATCTCAGCAGGGTTTCCTGACTCATTTTCAAGCTCTTTCTGGGAAAGGGCTTCGCTCTGGCAAAATATTCTCCTGTTACTTTACACTCTTCTCCTGCTACTACAATTCTTAATGAAAACCCTGGTGACAAGTGCAAAGATCTGGACAAAAGCTCTTCTGGGTATCTTAAATCAAAATGTTTACCCTGAGATGCAAAGTTTAAACTGTACTTAATTTTGGAACTTATAGTGGTAGCATCAACGATTACTGACCTTACATGTACATAAAAGAATTGAAAAGATACTGTGCAAAAGATTTGACCGATGGGATGGCTTGTCTACACAAAAACTAAATGAACAGATTGTCAATTACATTATTGTAAAATTGACATCTTTATACATCTGTAACTCTGACTGACAGATGTTTCTATCTGTCACATGTCAAGAAAATCAAAACAAAGAGAGAAAGACAAATCATACCAACTATTTAGAAACAAAATGAATAGCTGTCCCTTTTTGCTCTCTGTCATTCACCATTGCCTAATTTCATGCCGCGCGGGAGCCTGGCACTACCGGATTTTCCCGGACTTTTTAAATTCCGGATTAAAAATGGCTTCCAAAATAGAAGGTAAAGCAAAGGTCATTTCGTATAGTTGAAACAATATTAAGGGCCAGATTACTCCAGAAAGTTAATATTCTAAAGATAAGAACAGTTGTTTTACTGCGATAAAGAACCTCGATTAAAAATTTCGAGAAAAGAAAGATCTTTTCGGAGACTTCCGCTACTTGGAAGTATTGGAAGGATTCCCAAATTGTTCGACAAAAAATTTGAACAAAGAACCGTCGAGTTTAGCTCTTTTTACGGCGCTGGATCCGACCGAATATTGGGGAATGATAAGGGAGTGGGTGTACCTGTTTTTACAAACCGTAAAATAAAAACTACCAAAACGCGAAACATGCCAGAGTGACCCGAGTGAAAGGGCAACATTGTATATTAGGTTGGCAAGGCTTACATTAGATTTTCTCCCCGTCGCTGCGTACGGTCTCAGTAGAAGTCCTAAAGATCAGACTGGAAACAATTCTCACTGAACATGGATAAAAGCAAGCATACTTCAGTCTTACTTGAGAGGCAGTTCTCATCTGGTAACACTGCAGTTCCTGTAATTTGGGCAATCAGCTTGTAATCACAATCAAGAATGTCACGTACATCTACCTTTTGGCTAGCATGCACTGAGTATAGACTAGTCCCTTATCTTCCTTCATGTGAACATCACTAGGTTGAACATACATAACGCCACAAAGTTCACTACACTCATTACCTTTCACAGACATTACTCTTTTCCGCGACAGGAATAATCCAGGTAAGCCCTTCTGTACTGCCCTTTTAAGTTTTGCTCCAGCATACTTGGGCTACGATTGGTACGTGCACAATCACATCTGTGTTCTTTCCTGCAATGATCCTCTACTTTTCATATGCGGGTAGAATTAAACAGAGGATCCTTTGCTGTAGAAAATTTATAATCATGTTTGGTTCGAGCGACCAGTTCATCGAACAATTGCTTGCACTTGCTGAGTGTCGGCTCCTTAAGTTTAGCTTCAGGGCATGGCAGAAATACTGCATCCTTTCCTTACTAAGTTTAGACAGATTCTCCAAGGGAATATTGATCAATATTTCTTTGAAAGAAAATGCTTTCGTTCGAGTTTTTACTCTGACTATCCGCCATTTTGAAACTGGACTTTTTAAAAAGTCCGGGAAAATCCGGTAGTGCCAGGCCCCCGCGCGGTATGAAATTAAGCAATGTAAGGCATTGATTACTTTCCATTAAATTTGACTTATACTCATGAACAAGGCTAAGTCTGCCACCTATTATTTCTTATTTGTGAAGTTCTAACATATAAAGGCATGCACTTTGTCATTCCTTTGAAGTAAGCTTGTTTTGCCTGGATTATCATTGGCCTAAAATCTCTCCAAGCAAATCCAAGTTTGGTATTGACCCAGTATATGTGGTTTCTAGATTACCTTGATTAATTGCAGACTGCTCCAAAAGAGAAGTAAATGATGGTGCTTTATCAAGTGCATTCAGTGGTGAATAAGCACTAAACTGTGCATCACAGCTTGCCAGTGATGATTGTCTCTCATTCATATCCCCAAGTGCCACAGATGTTGGAGTTAGAACTGAGTACAATGGTAGGTCACACGGGAAAGAACGTAATGAACATGGAACTTTAAATGGAGGAACAAGTAACAATGAAGTAGACTTAACAGGAGCATTGTTTCTATACATAACAGATGAATGTTGTGACCTTGGTATTCCTGGGTTCAAATCTCCATTTGTTGTAGGGGACCTCCCAGTCAAAACAGAGCTTGATTGTATGGTACTTTGCAAAGACATATTTAAGTTTGGATTCATCAGAAAAGAATCTCTGTCTGGGGGATTCATATTTTGAGAGGGGTTTTGCAAAACACCTCTTAGAAGACTGGCTTGGCTAGATCCCAAATTTTGCTGCATGCCATGAGAGAGATTTCCTTGTGTTTGGGTATTATTGCGGTGGTAAATAGGGAAGGAGTTTCTCCGCTGATAATGATAAACAGTGCTTGGGTCAGCTACAGGACTGGAAAAACGAGGTTGGTCTTCTTGAAAGCCAGCTACTTGACATTGGTATTGTGTATCAGAGTTGAGGAATGCTTGGCTCTGTAAAGGTGGCATTGAGGTTTGGCGTTGGTATTGTGGTTGTGACCTAGAAATGGAGTATCTTGCTAAATCAGGTGAGGTAAGTGGTGTGACTAACCGTGCTCCCTGTGTTGTAGGTATAACTGGCTGGCTTGAAAACCTTTGGGAATATAACTGTTGAACTTGCGATGGTATATGGGATAGTTTTGATGATGGTGCACTGGTTTGAGAAAAGCCATAAAATGGTTGCTGTTGTTGCTGATGCTGTGACTGTGATGCAGGCCCTCTCGGATACTGAAGAGAATCAAATTGCCGGGGAAAACCACCAGCAAGAGAGGCTACTGGATGATTTGGCTCTGGAAGTATTTGCTGTTGATCATTAGAAATCAAAGGAATGCCTCCAGGATATTTGCCTGCTGTGTAAGGATGTTGTAAAGAAGGTGCTTGTTGGCCTGTTGAACCAATGGAATACTGGGCTGCATGCTGGTGTGGAAACTGCTGGTTTACATGACTTTGACTGTCGATGTAAGGTACACCTTGCTGTGCTTGTGCACGCTGCGTCTTCAAACGGGCAATCTCTTTCAGCTGATGTGATTTAGAGTGGTGAGTTCCTGGCTGAGTTTCAGGCACCTGACCTAAATCATCTTCACATCCTGGCACAGAAGCATTGGTCTGATGCTGTGGAGGTATAGGGCCTCCTTCCTCATTAAAACGTTGGATAACATGATCAAAATAGTCTAGTTCTTGTTGTATGTACTCTTTACGCCCTGGTAAGTTAAATTTAGAACTGGATACTTGTTTCAAGCCATTGGCTAAAGTTTCTGAGCCATCATTAGAATGTGTGGGTTCCTCGCAAGAAACAACTACAGGTTTCTCCTGTTTAAAATCCGATGATGCAAATGCAGTAGAGGCCAACCTTTGAGCTTCACCGGCGTAAGCCTCTGAGCCCATTGCGATTCTAGACCCATCGTGTAAGTACGAGGGCTCTCTCACACCATAGGAAGACTGGTGTACTTGTACCGATGTATGATCCACTTGGTGGGGCTGATTAATTGATGAAATCGAGTTGGAACCTTCCTGACCTGGTAGAAGAACACCGTCTGGTCTCTGAAACTTGCTTGAAACGCACTCTCCTCCAAGGTTGATATCAACATCGTTCGAAGGCGCAAAAGAGTTGAGGGCATTGTTCATATTTTGCTCATGTTTTCTCTTTTTTAGTAGGATTTGCTGCTGGCAGGATCAGAGTAAAATAAACCAGCGTTAGTGTAACGTACATTAAGCGCAAGTGTGTTGCGCAGAAATTGCAAACTAAACAATTGGGTACCGTTAACAACAGAATGGCATATCTAAGCTTATAAATCTATATCTTAATAAATGACCGTCAGAACATCTGTTGAAATCGGTTACCTACAAAACAAATCCCCTAAGCAACAAAAAAGTGAGAAAACACACCTCACGAATGTGCAGGATGGTATTCGTTGGTTTGTCAAGCCCGTTCGGTAGTTGCTGTTGCGATTCTACCTTGCCTTCGACGTCATTTTGTTTTGCTGCCTTTCCGTTCACGTTCATGATTCGATTGCGGCTATCCAAAGCACGCTTGTGTAGATTCATTGCCTCCTGTCTCTCTATGTCATGTACGGCTGGTAAGGACTGTGTATATTTTGTTTGGCAGTCACTATGATGTTTTCTATACCCGCTGAAACGCTGCCGAAGCCTATCCATTACCGCTTGATGACTTGTATGTCGTGGTGAAGTCATTCCGGAGGCTCGAGAACCCGTTTCGTTCATGCTCTAAATTTTAGTCAATAAACATCATTTCCCAAAAATTCACGCTAAGAATCTCTGAAATGCGAAAGTGGCGACTAACGAGTGCATTTTACTCCGAGGGAAGACGCCAATCACATACAGAACTGTGTCTCTGTGTCAAGGCTTGATCGCAGAGCATTCCGACAACATTGGCCGACTGTCGGCCATATTTCGACAACAGCATCCCTCGGGTAAAGTCATGACGTCACAAGGGGATCTCAAGCTAAGAGCGGCCTTTCTTCGTAGTCAAATTACGAACACATACACAGTGCCCCCCCTGGTGCTTTCCGTGCCACGGCAAAATGTCCACCGAACGATTTCAACGGCGGCACAATAAAACTGTGATCGACATATGTGGCCTTCTTAGGCGGCAATTTTGATTAGTATTTTGCAAAGATGCCAATCGGAAAATTATGTGATGCCACAACAAACCCTTCGTTACTTTCCATCCCATTTTCAGTTACGTGCAGTGCAAGTGCTGTCAAAAATACATATACAAGTGCTCAAAACGCAAGAATTTCATTGTATAAGGGAAACAAGAGATAGTGGGGGATAGTGGTTCAGTTATAAAACATGTTTGACAAAATCTTGCTTTTCTGCCGTTTTTCAATTTTGCGAACAACCGTTTGCCGGTAATAGAAGGCTAGAAAACTATTTATCAGGCTCGTAAAGCCACTTCTAAACCAAATATTTTCTTACCATTTTCTTTTACTAAGTTCTAAGATCTCTAAGTTAGAATCCCTTTTGATTCATGATTGTGTCTCTAATGCAAAGTAGATTGCATTTGATTGGTTAAGGTTTAAGATTAAAAATCACCTGAAGCGCAACCTCGTTCCCATGTGTCCGGTTATGATGCTTTTCAGGTCATCATCACTCTCTCCTTCGCAGAGGCCTCCTTGTTTAGACTACGAGTAGTCCCCCATTTTCCCTCAGGGATAGTAGAGCGAGCGAAACGCAAGCGCGCGTGAAAATCAAGAAAAGGCGACACGCGGCAGGGAGAGAGTGATAGAATGAAATTCAGGCTAGTAGAAATTAGTAAAATCCAACTAGTGGTCTATCATCAATGCTGCGTTCTGATTGGTTGAGCTACTACTAGGCTGTATGTTATAGCCCACTAGTAGCGAAAATCGCGGGCTTTTTGACGGCAAAAAGGGATTAAAGTCGAGCTTTAACTAGCTAAATTTTTTTTATTCTCGATATTTTTGACCGAACCAGTTGGATTTTACTAAATCAATTATTCCTCTCGCCCTCATGGCCTCTGAGTCAATAGCCCATTGTTATGCTATCTGTAGTTATTCAAGCCTTAAAAAAGGCGGTTATGTTCCTCTGCATGCTCACACTTGGGCTTTTGAAAACACACACCTTGCATACACATCATCATCTGATCACTGCAGTGTCCGTGTTTATATGAATTTACTCTCTGGGGCCGAGATTTAGTGTCCGTTGTCCGTATTAGAGAGAGTCCGTATTATGGAGGTCTTTTTAAAAGAAAGTATATGATAAGTTTTTCAGGACATTGGAAACTGCTGTCCTTAATAGAGGGGTGTCTGTATTAGAGAGGTGTCCGTACCGGGAGGATCGACTTTATTTCCTCCACTTAATATCTGCCAACTCTCACGCATTAATATGCGTGAGTCTCACGCTTGCAGACCAAAGAGATCAAGACGTAATTAATCGATAAAAATCGATATCGGAAATCAATCGATAGCATCGATATTAATCGAGTTAATCCGCCGATCAATAATAATAATAATAATAATAATAATACTAATAATAATAACATTTATTTATACCGCGCAAATTCAACTATACAGTTTTCAAATGCGCCTTACAATTAAAAATTACACGAATGAATAAATATCTAGTCTATAAATTGCAACATTATATCAGAAAACGTTTGTCTTCAAATTACGTTTAAAACTTCAAAATCAATAACATCGATTGATATCGGAAATCGATAGAAATCGAAGTCACGGAAAAAATGATATATTGAGTATTACCGATTAACAAAATCGATAAGAATCGATAGGAATCGATAGTAATCGATAAAAAAATCATTATCGATTTCTATGGGGCGCCGAATATATTTTATTATTTAGGGTGGCTATTTGTATATAACCAAAACAAGAGTGGTTATTTCACATTACAGTTTTATTATTTCTGGATAACCAAAGTATAAAATTGGTTATCTACAAATAACCAAAACTGAAATTTGGTTATTTAGCAAATAACCAAAAATTAAAAAGTGGTTATTTCTAAATAACCAAATGCGAGATTGGTTATTTAAAATGCGAGATTGGTTATTTATCAAATAACCAAAATACGAGATTGATTATTTATTAAATAACCAAAATGCGAGATTGGTTATTGATTAAATAACCAAAATGCGAAATTGGTTATTTATTAAATAACCAAAATGTGAAATTGGTTGTTTATTAAATAACCAAAATGCAGGCAGAATGGAAAATTGGTTATTTACAGACAAACTGGAGAATTGGTTATTTAGTAAAATAAATAAACAAACATGGACGATTAAAAATCCAAAACTGTGCAAAAATGGTTATTTAATACAGAAATGGTGATTCACCTAATTTGGTCTTCAGCAAGTGGCCACGTGACCCATTTTCGCGTTCCTTTCCCATAACGACTTGCAGACTTCTATTTTCAACATGGCTTCTTCCACTTCCTTCACTTTCCTCTTTTCTCTTTCATTTACCTTCTTCCATCCTCATTTTCCTTCATTTACTTTCATTTTCCTCCGTACACCATCATTCGCTTTCATTAATCTTCATTTACCTTCATTTATTTTAATTCACCTTCATTCTAATTCATTTACCTTCATTCACACTCATCCTTCGTCATTAATTTTCATCTACCTACATAGGCCTTCATTTACCTTTGCCTTCTTTCACCTTCATCTACCCCGATTAGCCTTTATCCACGGTCATCTACATTCATTAGCCTTCTTTTACCTTCATACGCCTACATCTACCACCATTAGTCTTCATTTACCGTCATCTACTTAAGCTGGTTTTCATGATAGTCCAGAGATTATCCAACGAATTGTCGTGCCGTCACATAATTCATTTCTGACTAATTTGTTCCCTTGTCCTTTAATCTTCAGACATTACACATATTCAAAAATAATTTTGCATTTCCGTGAAACGTATCGTATTTTACATTGTTTTCTTATACAACAGGGTCTTAACGAGGTATACATTTTCCCGACTGATCTCACATTTTCGTCATAAAATTTTGATACCTGATCCAAAATTGTTGCAAATCCTGATCCCCGATCCCGTGAAATTCTTTTGATCCCTGGATTCAATTCTGTATTTGCTAAAAACTGAGTGAAATACCAAATAAAGTCTCTCTCTTTTCGATTTCTTTTACAATTTTATTGGCCACATCATTTGCTGACTGGAGAATTAAGGTTGGCTCCCGTCTGTTCTTTCGAGTTATCATAATTCTATCATAATCCGTTCCACTTTAGAGCTCCCATAATGATGTATCTTCTAATAAACCTTTCGCACGCAAGTGGGGAGGAAAGTTGTTGCGCCGAAGGCGACCCAACCTTGTGGATCTGGGGGCATGCTCCCCCAGAAAATTTTTAAATTTAGGGTCTCGGAAATCCTATTCCGGCGTTTTCGTCGGGACATTTTCAGTAAATTAATTCGCAGGAAAATGCTATTTTCCTGCTCCTGAAATCTCTTTAGGCAAAGATTGACTTGACCAATGATGAAAATACCTATAGAATTCTACAATATCAGGATGATTAGAGAATCCTGTCGCAATAGGCTTTGCGTTACGGGCAGCCACCTTGGATGAGCGTCAAAACTACTTAGGGACTATTTTTCTCGCGTCCTTCCAAACCGCCCCCCGCCCCCTAAGTAGTTTTGACACTCATCCAAGATGGGTGCCCGTAAAGCAAAGTGCTCGATCTCGACGATCTTACGGAAAAATAGGGACTGTGATATGGGGCGCCAGATGTATTTTTATTATTTGGAGTGGTTATTTGTATATAACCAAAACAAGAGTGGTTATTTACAATTATAAAATAACTGAGATCGTACGCGTGATCTGATTGGTCAAAAACCTATGGTTTATTATACCGGTAAACCCATAGAAAAAGGCATCCGGACCACGAGCCATAAACAAAACCGGCTATTGATCTGCAAACAACGATTTTAGAAAGGCTAAAAAACAGAACAAGTTACTTACCCAGCCCTTCTTAATATTAAAAGCGTTGGTTTCCACATTTTATTACTGAGCGTCACAATTCGCTACTGCCATAGCTTTAGAAGTTATAAAGTACAAAGCTGGAAAACAGTTTACATTTCACGACGATACCAAATCGTAGAGAAAGACAACAACTGTGTATATTTTTATCTAATTTTTTTGTATCATGTAAATCAATGTAGGGGACAGCTGGGTACAAATAAAGTTGTTGTTGTTGTTGTTGTTGCAAGCATTCATTATCATTCGACAGAGACAGACATATTCTCTATTTTTTATATTCCCGCCAATATTTGAAAAAGCTGTTAAATGGGGCAGCGGTTCATTTGAGTTTTATTTTTCTTCATGAATGCCATTCGATCCGGGGCCATTCAAAGGATGTTACTCAGTAACATCCGCTGAAAGGACCTTCTTGATGCGCTATTGAGGCTTGAATGATCGAGGCGAAACATTAAAACATCCTCTCCAAACAGATGCAGCGGCATCTTCTTGGTTGAATCAATTGAGGGATGATCGAAAAAACAAGACAAGACCTCGAAACAAACATCAGATCATCAAACAAATCAGAGTGGACGATCGAAGCAAAGCTTACATGAGTCACACGGGGAACCACGAGGCGAGCGTGACGTCATACGTTTACGAAATCCGACCGAAGATAACAGGGCCTTTCGACGGATGTTAACGCGTGCTGACCTTTTCTCTCTCTCTCTCGCCCAGTAAGGCGGGTAGGAGAGAACCCTGGGAACCAGGTTGCGCCTGAAAATCGCAAAAAATACTGTGGGGTAGGGTTGTGATGGAGAGAAAACCATTCCAGCGTATGTGTTAAAATTTACTTTATAGAATTATCTATAGCTATCTAAATAGGCATATTTTTAAGTCC